TATATATATATTAATTACCACAAAATGCTATCTGAAAAACATAAAAAGTTCATATACAATGCAATACCAAAACTCAAAATATGTTTAAAAAAATCCCAATTACCAAACAGAAAACCCTATTTTTTTAAGTGTGAGGTTGTGTAGTGGAATTCGGAAAAATAAAAATGTGATTGTTTTGCTTAAATACTAATATGAGCACAGTCTCCTCCTGATGGTAGAAAATATTAGTTTTGTAAGAATAAAATGGAATTGGCTTTGTTCACTTGTCGCTGTTTAACTGTAAAAAGAGGCAAACTTCCTGAATGGTGTGTGTGTGTGTGTGTGTGCGTGCGTGCGTGCGTGCGTGCGTGTGTTGGGGGCAGGAAAGGGTTAATTTGCAGGTGAAAGAGACGGCACACTTCATTTTGTTTTCGTTTTGTTTTCTTTCTTCGCTCCTTGGACAGATGGCCTCTTAAATTCGTTGAAGCTGGAACAGCAACACAGTAGGAGTGAATACACTTTTCTGGGATTTGGCCTCTGTAATAAGCTAATTTGAAAATTACATTTATTGTTAATGGATACAATTTTAAGCCTGACAGCACATTCCTTATGACTGTGATTATAAAACATCTCATAAAACACGCCTAGAAAATGCAATTATTCTGAAACAAATTTCTCCTTTTCGTAACTAAACTTTCAACTCAAGTTGAATTTTCTAGGACATTAGAGAGACACTTATTAAGCCACTCATTTGTGGCTAACTCACAGAAACACTGGCTCATGAGCCTCCAGTCTCAGTGACTAACATGAAACTCCCACCAAGCAATGAAAGTGTAGCATGCCAGTTTGAATCCAGGTAAGTTAAAAGTAGCTTAGAATAACTGTTGTTGTTGTTGTTGTTGTTGTTGTTGTTGTTGTGTCCACTTTCAAATAGACAAGTTTCATGAGCATTTTTTGTGCATTTTCTTTATGATACATTTTCAAAGATATCTAAATTGAACAATCTGGAATTTTTCAAATTAATTAATTTAATAAAACATTTTTTTAAGTTTCAAATTCTAACACTAATTCTGATTTATACCATAATAAATCATGAAAATAACATGAGAACAAGGGAACAAATACATCCCTATAAAAGGGCGTCTTGGACAAAAAATACAACAGAAGACAAAAGTGATAAAAAAACTAAACACACACACACACACACACACACACACACACACACACACACACACACACACACACACACACACACACA